CAAATAACGGAAAAAGAGAAAGTAAAACTCTCAGGCATGATTTATTTCCTAGTTAACTTCCAGGAAACTGGTTCTTGTTTGTTTCGTGCATCCGCAAGTTCTAAACACAACAGCAAAATTTATGATTCCTATTTTTCAACCAACCTGTTCATATTTGACTATGTTTATTGATCACCTCCAACTCCACTAACAAAAAAGCAAACCATCTTAATTGTTCTCAAAATCATTACTTCTCTGCGTCCATGTATGGCAGCAAACAAAAGTTTCGTAATAATTATTCAACACCCACAGCGTCTTAGTCACCAATCGGTGAATTTCAATGAAGAATTTCCAATTTCTTGTTTACCCGCTTAGTAATTAGGTTCAGCGAATTTCTAGCACCTTGACTTTTCGTGCCGTCTATCGACCACTTCGACTTCTTATGTAAATACTTGTCGAAAATACAAAGAAAAATCCTCAGAAGAATTTTAACCTTTGAGAAGCAACAAACGGTACGAGAATTATTTATGCAAATGCGGCGCAACAACTTTATTACACGTGCAATGCACTAAACGCGATTTTATGCTTCAATTAGGTTTTATGGTTAGTTTGTTCGATGTGGAACGCTGTTTGGATTTACCAATTAGGCAAACAATTATTTATCACAAGAAAAGAGGTAAATGGATTCCCGTTGGTAGAAGCGGTCGTGGTGTGAATGACTTTCTGAAATGGTGTTTGATAAATAATAAAGAATCTCCGAGGTTTCATATATGGCATGGTGTGGAATGAAATCGTCGTAATGATACTCCATGTAATGATGGCAAGAATCTGGGTCAATTGAATGATTTCGTTTTTATGGGTAAACGTCGATTATTTATTGGGTTTGTTTAATTCTTAATGGGTTTCCTTTATTACGGTAATTTGGCTCTATGAAATATGTATGACGGATTAATGGCTTGTTTAAAGTTTCCCTAAGCTAGAATCGAGGTGCAAAAATTGTAAAGAATGAACTTACAGTTAGATGTGAGCTATTTGTAAAAATTGTGTTTCTAATAAACAAGGTTTCGGTACAGTTATGCTGGCAGAATTTACAAAGAAGTAGTCAGTCTAAAGTCACTAAAAGTAAATTGTAAATTTTCAGGATCAAATTTTACGTCTTATCCAAGAAACCAAATAATGAACTTTTTTAAAATATTTGATACGACAATAACTACTAATCCCCTATAGAAAACTGATGACGCAATCTCAATAAATTTATTAATTGTTTGTCCATCATTGTATATAATTAATTATATTGTTGTTATTTTAATAACATGCTGTTGATTTTTGCTGGACAATTGCTTATAAGGGATTTCCTAAAAAAGATGAATGTACGAACAGGTTTGTTTTCACTTTCCAGAGAAACATTCCATTTAAATCCATTTGCCAAAATAATGATTATGTAGGTATATACATTTTCAATTTACACGTATGCTTTATTTAACTATGTTTATACCCATGAGAAAGTGCCAGAATTTTGGATCAGCCTGAATTAATTAAGAAACACTATAATTTCGATTAAAATGCATTGATTTTGTTTTAAAAGAAGGTTTGTTAAATTTTTTGATCCCAGAATCGACTAAAATAAAAAAAAATCATTAGAGTACACAATATAAAAACTTTAAAATTCGATTAATATAGTTTTAAAAAACAATGAAACCAAAGAAATAATCACCCTAATTAAAAGAAATATACATATATAAGTATTTTCCAGAATGTAGAATATAAAATATTAAAAGATAAAGGAAACTTATAAATATACAAAATAAAATATAATAATAAAATACAGTCATAAAAAAGTAATAGGCAACCATTATAAATAATTATAGGAGTATTTAATATCACAAATCACTAGTCAGGAATCACTTTCGAAACTCATCTTTACTATTTCTTCATCGGACAAAATTGTAGAATCCCATTTCTCAATATTCTTTCTTCCATTACATTTTTCAAAAGTTGAGTAACGTCTGGTAGAATTTTTTAAAATTTCTTGATGCAGATTTGCCTTAAAAAGGCTATTAAGGAATCAAAAGACAGAAAAAACCTCTTTAAAAGATTCTGGTTCCTGTCTATTCTGGAAAACTTATGCATATTATATTGCTGCTGCTTTGAAATATGTTTATTTCTAGCTTCTTGTGGTTCTTCTATTAACTATCCAGTAGGAACCAAAGATGATAAAATAATAATGATTCTATGAATGATAATTGATAACAGTGATAACTTTATGCACCGTCATAGACATGTTAAACGATGCAAGCGTGTCCACAATTATTTTCGCCAATTTCAATGGTATAATTTCCTTTAATTTTATTTCTTCTCCATAAAAAATTGCTCTTAAAATCACACAAAGTATATTAATCAATGCTTCCCGTATTCTGCTGAAATTTTGGGATTATCGAAAAATCTTCTTGCAGTGTTTTACTAGAGAATTCAAATATATCTGAAAAGCACATCAATTAATTAGCTTAAAATAAAGCATATATATAATTATATAAATACAATTTCTGTAAACACATTTATTGCAAACATTTTTACAACTTGCTTAACCGATAAAACACCTTCATTTACTTTGTTAAATATTTCGTAAAGGGGTCATCAATAGTTTTCATATTTTGGGGATCTTATATTCAAGCTTTAAAAACACATACTCTATTTATAGGCAACGTGGGGCTTTTTTATAAGTAATTGAAAACATACAAAATTATTTTAAAGTTGACAAAATTTACAACAGTATAAAAAATGTTTTATTTAATTTAAAGTACACACACACAAGCTATATAATAATAATAAGTGCATGAGAAAATACTTACCATGAGATATACTTGGGTATAATTTCAAAGATATATTTAACACAAAGCTGAGGAGAGAATGAAAAATAGCAAGTATAGTTTTGGAAATTTCATTGTCCCCTATAAAATTTTATTGGCAATAACGAGACGAACAGTAGTACAATAGCAAGAGATATTTACAACTTAAGTTGTCGCGTGCCGGTAATCCACAGATGGTAGAAAGCAGAATAATCCAGGTCCGGACAGGGACCATCGTGACTCATGAACGGAAATGACCATTATTTTATGAGTACAACTACCTGCTAAATGTTCTCAGACAAATTCGAGTAAACTGGTGTGAGCCATAAATATTTCTTACTATTGTACTACTGTCCGTCTCGTTATCGTCAATAAAATTTTATAGGGTAGAATGCAATTTCTAAACTATACGAAGTTTGTACGCTCTCAGACAATGTGAACATTTTTAAAATCAGCAATAACTGTTGGTACACAACATTTAGACATTTAGGGCATCTAGACCTAGAGAAGGCATTATTATTGTAGTTGTATTTCCAGTTTCGGCCCACTGTGCGATCGTCAGTAAGTCAGTATAATTATATGTATTATGCTTATTCTCATCAAATGAGGTTTTTTCACAAATTATTATTAACATGTCGTTATTGAAAAATACTTATGATATTCACTGCGTCTCAGACGCCAGGAAATTTCCGTTTGCAATTTTTTCTTCAATTATATTTCTTATTCTCGAACTTATTTACACAAGGGAGCATTAAATTCACTTCTCTTCAACAGCAACTTTTTTAAAGAAATTTTTAATGTAAGTGAGCAATTCGTATTCTTTGCTATTTAAAAAATTCCTGATAAACGGGAAATTTAAGATTTTAAAAGTGCATAAGATTTTGAAAAATTAATGTCAGTGGAATGATGGTAGAAAATATTTTCCCTGTGATATGTTAGTATGAGTGAAGTAACACCTTAAATGTCAAGCATTTCAAACTAATGTTATGTGGTTGAAAAACTTTGACGTAACAAACAAGAATTAAATTTGGGTTTGGTGGAGAAAACAGTTATTGTTAATTCAGGAAATTAATCTTACAGATATTATAATCTAATACTTCATAATCATCATGTAAAAGAATAGGAATACTTCATTAAAAAGTCTTTACATGCAATTTTGTTTCTTTTAGGAATACAAAAGTTCATTAGAATTTCCTACAGGGCAATAAACATTCAATAAAATTTATTAAACATGCATTGCATTCAAAATCAGTTTGTGGCAAATTATTGATTAAGTTAATGAAAAGTTATTTAAACTTAAGTTAGTGATTATTGATTAATATTTAAACATTGAAATAAAATTTTATTTAAAGTTATTTTGTGGTTGTTACCTTTTTCCAACAGAAATCGAATTGGATATTTCAGTAAAATTTTATTTATTTATACGATGTTTCACACCTTTCACACATTGTAGTGGATTGTGGAATTTGCCGCCTACATTTTTGAGGGTAATTTGTTTATTTCAAGATTAGCTGATGTGTTTATTTGGTTGCATATATACAAGAGTGTATTTAAATAAAAATTTTAAAAAGTATGATAAAATTGTCTTTTGTCATAGACTGTGAACTCTTGTACACGAAATACAAACAGGATAATAAATTTTATTGAAAAGAAGTAGATCACACAATAATTAATTCAAATGTAAAATCTCAAAACGTTCACCCTTGTGCTGAAGCGAGACATATTATGTTTCCCTTTCTTTTCTTATTCTCAAAATGTTCTGCAATACTGTTTGACTCGCTCAGTGATACTCCTGATTCGTGGACTTTTTCCACTTTTTCCTTGAAATCCACGTCTTCAAATACTGAAACTGTCCCACTTGATTTTCTTTATTTACACTACCGACTACCGGTATAAATAATTTAGTTGAGGGTTATTTACGAGAAACTCCTAGCCTAAAAAATTCAAAACACAACCAATATTACAATGTGTTATTGATGCCGCTGGTTTTTACTTTACAGAGGTCATCACAAAACTGAAATCATAAAATAAAATTTTTATCATTTTTTTTAAAGGGCGAGGGAATTTCTGTCGAAATAGCCTTCGACCAATATCTGTACAGATTTGTATTGGTATCCCCCCCTCCCTGTAGCAACGTTTTAAAATTATAGACATTCACGACCATAAAAAACGAAATAAAATCTTCTCTTTTATTTATATATGTTTTGTAAATATCTACAAATAAAAAAATAAACAACTTTTTTCCAACAAAACAACTTGGTGAATTTCATAATATAGGACAATTATTGCTCATCATTAAAAATACGGTACCATCCTACATCTACAACGGAACGATAAAAACTAACTAAAAGTTTAACAAAAAATTTGCCACTAGCTTGCATATAAACCCTCATCGCACCAACATGGCCACTAATTTTGGCGGTAAAAGCTCATCACAATCTATATACAAATATAAAAATAATATAAGTAAAATAACTAACAGTTAATAATCAACTTAAGTCTAACAGTATAAAGATAAAAACAGCAACAATAAATTGCACTTACAAAAGAAATTTAAAAACAATATTCACAATTACTTATAAAATCCTTAACAGCTAACACTGGAATGATGCAAAATGTAAATAAATGTGATTTACAACTCCTTGTGTTATCACTTGCATTTAAAAGAAAAAATGTATAGAAAGCACCTATATAAAACAATATTTAACATTTTTTCTTTGTCAAGATAATGCATTGAAGGAATAAAAACGCTTTACGTATCACAATCTCAAAATCTCAGAATTTGATTCAACTCCATTTTGAATAAACATTATTAAACAGCTATATACCGGCTGTCTAAAATTTTCTTCCCGAAGCAATAGCATTCATAGAAATGTCATCATTAACACAAAATAATTTGGAGTTTAAAAATGCAACTGTTTTAGAATCATATTTAATTTTGGAAAATTACCATCAATAACAAAATGACATTTTTTGCTTAAAAAAATCTGAAAAAGGGGTATTGCCCGAGTACATTCCCAGACACTCGCTACAGGAACTCATCACGTACTATAGTAGATGGTGCTCTTAGGCTGGGGATATATAAGACACCAAGCACGCGACACACGGAAGGTATTTTTTTATCTCCATGGGCAATTCAGACCACGACTGCTGTAAAAATGAATATTTTGACTTCATGGCGTCTTGTTTTTAAGTTATAATCACAATAATACGTTATTATGATCTGTACATATGGTTTGAGCTCCTAGCTTGTGCCTACTTTTTAACATAATTCAATTCTTATTATTCTTATTGTTAATGTCATTCCACGTAGATCTACAGATTAGGCCGAATAAAAAAACCCTATGTGAGACTGTTTTTTGGCATTAGGATTATTCAAAACTCGATAGTTCTTTTTTTTTGTTTTTTTGACAGAAATTAAGAAAAAGCCGCGATCACATTGTCACTTATAACACGAAAATTTAAAATATTGTCAAAAACAATCGCAAACCCACCCCAAACTATCATAAACACTTATTATCAACATGAAACCCACAAAAGTGCCAACAAATAAAAGTGCTACATAAAATCTGACATTTACGTGTAACGACAAACGTAGTTGTTGTTCTTCCTGTACAGCTCAGAAACAACAGCCAAAGCACCTCCTGGTATAAATCTAACGAAATTATCTCCAGCCAGCGGCCCGATGGCAAACAAATTGTCAAAACCATCGACGTGGTGTGTCAATTTATCAATTTTCAGAGTGTTGGTTTTGCAGTCTATAGGGGCGTTTTTCTTCACGCCCAGGTTGTAGTCTGGGGGAAGGAAAGTCAGGTCGGGGCGGGACCCTATCAAGACGGCGGCAAAAGAAACCCGGATTTTTACAATGTCGCCGCTGGATTTCGATGTAAGAATGACTGATCGAGAGTTTTCATCGATGTCAGAGAGTTGGTATTCGGGGTAGGCTGTGTAGAAGGGGTAGGTGGAGCCGCCATCTTTCATCATTTGGTGGACCTGGCAAAAAAGAAAAATTTATAATTATTAAAGTTATTGCATTATCTTCACAAGTTCTCAAAATTTTCCAAATTTTTAATAATGTGTAATTTTTCAGTTTCTTGAATAATTATGTTTTTATTCGTATTTTGAAAAATTTATAAGTTATAAAATTTCGAAACACCTCGAAATTTTCAAGAAATGGGAAATTCTAAAAATCCTACACAATATAGTCCCGTTTGAAATCCTCAAAATTAAAGAAAAAGTCAATTGAAACTTGTTTTAATTTCAATTTTATTATATTTTAAATGTTGAATTGCAATAAATAATTTCTTATCAACGTGAAAATTAGCAATTTCTAATCATTTTTTAAACAGAATCTACTGATTTAATCAAGAAATTCTGCTGTTGATCCCTTCCATATTCTTTCCTCCATTAAAGTACTGTATTATACACTACTAGTACTCGTATGTATTAGTACAATAAAGTACTTGACCTCCATTATCCCGTCAGGTAACCAGTGATTATAAAGGAACTTTTAATTCTAAATATTTATAAAAAATAAACTAACATAAGGGACTTCTTGTAATAAGTTGCCAATTTATAAATTAAGAGAAGGCTTTTAACAAACCAAATCAACAAATCGTATATTTCCCAAAGCGTTAAAAAAAAACACGGACTTGGTCCGCATTCCTGCGATCCCGTAATTTCACAAAATGGGAAGATCGGTTTCACCTTCCACGAACAGAGGGCGCTTTTGTCTTATATGGGTAATCCAAGATTTAAAAATGCCTTATAATTACAATAAAATTTGTCGCTTTAGCAGTAATCGAGTTTCAGAGTCGTCGTTCACGCATTTACTTTGATAAAAAATATTTTATCACGCAGAGAACGATAAAAATTAACATAAAATACACAAAAACGTGAAAATCATGCACAAGCATATCAGATGTAGTGCATGAATCACAAAACAGAGATAATGTTTTCGTGACAGAGATATTTTTATCTAAATACTTTATCTATATACATGATGTCAAACGTAAGCCGACAAAAATAAATAAAAATAGTGGCTTATACTTATTAGAGTTGTTCTCTGTTTCTGTGCGGTTTTAAATTTGAACTATTACTCAAGTACTGTTTACAATTTTTTTCTTATATGTACTTACTTTATGGTACTCTGGGTACATATTTTCAGGCAACTGCTTGTTCAAATCCGCCGACTTATTCCTGAAGACGTGTACCACGGGCACGTTTCTGCCCCTGGTGGCAATTACAGCGTCGGCGGCACTTAGCCCGGCCCCCACAATCATCACCGGTTCCACCTCCTCCACCCCCTTCTCTCTGATATAATGGTCCAAATAGTACTCCAGGCTCCTCAGATCGTGGAACAGCCAGCTAGGATCTTTCTTGGTTTTGGAGAAATCCAGTCTATTCGGCAAATCGCTGGCACCGTTCGCCAGCACCAGGTACTTACAATGGTACGTCGTGCTTTCCCCCGACTCTACGTTCCGGGTTTCCACCGCCCAGTTCGCCCTCTGGTCGGGATCACAGACTGGGCTGATTCTGAAAGGCACACGCGAAGCACTCTTCAGCTCTAAACTACGGGAGTTCCTCAGGCTATCACTAGAAAAACTATCACATGTAGAAGAATCACAGCTTAAACTGACAGATCGGTCCGTGTTTCGTCTGGCCATGGGTCTGTATTGGGCAACTTCTCGGATTTTCCTGTCTGGGCTTAGGCCCTGACAAAGCGCTTCTCGGGGTCTCTTACAACACCGACTGGGCTTGAGCTTTCTGTGGCCCCTCGATAGAAGGTAGTTGAAAGCGTCCGAGATGAGGCAAGACTTTGGGCTGGGAATTGCCTCGATTTGTTCGTATTCCATGCGGATCGCCAGGCTTTGGCTCTCGGACACGTATATTTGATCCATTTCTTTCAGTCTTTCGGTTCGTTCCCTCTCCTGGGGGTCCCGCCGGGGCGGGATGAGCGGCGAGATGCCGGTGACGAGGGCGTTGTTATTGAAATGCTTTGAGAGGTTCATCTCTCGGACGTAGTTGACGTAGTAGTTGGCCACGTTGCAAGCGAAGGCCCGCTTTTCGCCGGAGTCCCGCGAGTGGAAGGGCAATCCGGGAAGTGCCATCCACGTTCCGAGGGACAGGGTAAGGATGTACGGGTCCATCTTGTGCCAGGAACCGCCGGGTGGACCCTTACCCAGTACTACGTGGTCGATCTACAATTAAAAAAAATGTGTTGAAGGAATAAAAACTAACAAGAGATGCAAACACATGCGGACTAAATATAAATCTATGTATGTACTAAGAAGATCTTTAAGTAAATCTAAAATAGGTTCAAGCATTTCTGAATTTTTATATAATTATTTTATACAGGGTGATTTTTTAACCTGAAATTTTCAAATATGTTATAAGTTCTCAGTACGAGAAATGGAAAAAATTGAATTTCCTTTATTAAAGTGTCAGCTGTCCTGAATCTAAAAAAATGTTGGACAAACCCTACGTACTTTAAAATCGAGGTTCCTATTTAAGATTTCACCTACAAGAGGAAGGGAGGGGGACTAATTTTTTGCACCAAACCGCATCTTCATCTACGTGACAGTTCGAATGGTAAAAGGAGTAACGCGCTAATTGGAACCATCTGTGGATATTCTCTCACCTACCTCCACTCCAACCTTTTTGAACTCCACCAATGGCTCCATCTCTATTCCGATGTCGGCACATGGATGCAGCAACGAGTCCAAGAGCAGCGACACCGGATTGGTAGACCTGCCTTCGATTCCCTCCGCTAGATGGCCCAAATTTTGTTTGACCAAGCACTCGTGCAAGCCCGACCTCAGTCTCATTGACAACATTTCGTCCGGATGCTGATCCGAGACCAGAAAAGGAAGATTTCCAGAGAGCATATAAGACAGGGCAATGCCGCTCGGGCCGTTTCCTGGAAAGTGACGTCGTCAGAGGTCACGGAATTCACTAGAAGGTCACGGCGAAGGTGATGATAACGATTGAATGAGTTTTATTTGTTTATGAATTATGGATGCGGATGAATCAGAGATATGTTGTAGTATTTTGTAGTAAAATGTTGTGTAATAGGACGCAGCTCCAATTCGATAATAGCTTCCAGTGGAAACATCGATTTATTTATAATTCGGTTGTTTGTCGGATGGAGCGATAAACATATTTTTGAATTGCGCTTGGTAACAATTCTTATCGTGATATGATGGTCGAAGAAGAAATGTTGTGTAAAGGGTACTTCCGTTTTTTTTTTTTGGTGTTGGTGAAAGATATGGCTACCTACCTACGATAACCACTTCCTTGTAAATAACGTCACTGGGATTTCCTGACTTCATGATTGCTGTTTTAATCTGGAAAAAAAAATTTGAACTAGTTTAATTGACGTTGATTCATTCAAGAAAGTAAAAAGTGGATTTGGATGGTATAATTTTGTGTTTCAAGGTCGGTGCAATCAGTAAACTTCCCGACTGGTGGGCAGTCTGAGAAAAAGCTCTTGGAAGAGATCCAAGTGAAGTAAAAGTCAATTGCTTGTCTAGCGCAGTCGTAAAAATAAATATATTTGAGGACACATTTAGCAAAATAGTCGGAACTAATATCCAAATTTGTAGCACACAAACGAGTTGCGGTATGTACAGGATGGTCTAATTTAGGAACATACACTGCATAGTATTGACTTGACTCCACGTGTTCAATTTACAAATTTCTTAACAAACAGAAAGAGAATAAATTACGCAACTGAGTTAAGAAAGCTGCATTGTTTATAAAAATAAATTTGTGGCTACTTTTGAGTTATTCAATGACATATATCGCAAATTGTAACTAGGAGGTTATCATCTTTTTAGGCTTTTTTAATCATATTTAGAACTTGAAAGATAACTTACACTTGCTAAGAGTATTCTTTTGTATTTATTTTAAAACGTCAAGTGGGCTGTTGTTTTTAACCACTTATATGATATGTTATAGTTATGAAGACTATATGTTATTGCCACAGAGCTCTTATTGCCGTGTGAATATATAAATATAATATAACTCTAATAAAGGTTAATAGGCTAATAGCGCGAAATTTGAATTTCTAACTAACATGCTGAAGTGTCAATAATTATTCTAAACAAACGTAAGCGAATAAAAAATAAAAGCAGGAAACCGATAGTTACTTTAGAAGTTTCAAACAATTAAATAAAGTTACGTTTTCGAAGACTTTAGAGTTGCCATTTTTATTTAAACCGAAATGAAAATAAGAAAATGACATTGCGGCGTTATAGTCATTCAATGGAGTGCCTGTGCAGCTAAAGTCACTAGATAGATTAAGTACCGCAATGCTCCTCCATTTTGGGACAAAAAAGCGGTAAATTTAAATGTTATTTATCTGAAATCTGAATTTTTCAAGGAATGCAAAAATATTTAGCCAAGAGGGCTATATACTTTGGCATATAATGAAAATAACAGACATCAACATATTATATTATGGGAGGTAAATGCTGAGAAGGTAATTATTTTTTAAACAAACAAAAATTGGAAATTTCCAAAGTTACCAGGTTTTGGGAGAACAAGAATATAAAAAGGGCTGGGAGATACGTAATGCAACTAACAATAAACTAATTATTATTTATTTTTTGCAAGATTACGCATAGCTACACTTCTGCTGCTCATCGAGTCACCCATTTTGGTAAACTCCTTCGCCATATTTTTGAGCAAAAAGTATAACCTACTTTTTATGTACAATTGAACAAATTTTTCCAGAATATTATGGCACAACTATAAACAATAAACTTCTAACAAAGGGTACAAAAACTATACACGTGCTATACACCACAGAACTCAATTTATGTGACGTAGCAGAGAATGCGTCCTTGAAGCACTTCTACCAGTAAACTTTTAGTAATGTACAAAAGACACTAAAAAGCGCCACCATTTTGGGGCAAAATTGACATATCTCTCTCTAACTCATGGGCCTAATGGATTGATTTTTTTTTTTTTTTAATTTTTTAAAATTAATCTATCTAGTGACTTTATGTGCAGCGTTTAAGCGACGCCATCGCACGGTTGGCCGTTGAAACAGAATCCCAACCTGTCAACAGCGTTACTTATTTATAAATATCGAAGGCAATGTAAAACACTTTTTTAAAATAGGTATATGTGATACAATTGTGTTTTTTTTAACTCAATCTGAGAATTTTTAAGAATACTAAGTTTAAAATGTAGAGCATTATATACTTTGTCAAAAAAGTTTTATGATGATGCTTTTAAGTAACTGCATGATCCAGATTTGAAAGACTTCAAGTTGTTAAGTGACCGTAGTAATGTTGACATCAATAATTTTTTCTTTTGCACTCACTTGTAGTTAAATTACAGCATGAGATTATAAGAATGTTACATGGCTGAAATATAATTACAACTTAGTGTTACACAAATGATACGTTACACAAAAATACAAAGTAAATGTTGGAACTACACGTGAAACTTCTAAATACCATTTCTCTGTCAAACACATGAACAAAGTGTAAGTTTAATTAATTCTCGACATTCCACAATTTCTAGAAAAAGACAAAAATACATAATTCATCTCAAAAATTTGTTAAAGTACATCTCAGTTGAAATTTATAGCTTATTTTATGTTGCCTTATCTGTGTTTTAATAATGTATCCATATTTTTAACCTTACGGGTTATCGTAAAAAAATAGATTGTATTAGAATTTGCAAAAATAATTTCAAAATTTTTAAAAGACGCAAACGTGATCACAGAACACCGATTGAAATTTATTCATTCACTCATTTCAGAACGGTGATTTTATGAGTCTTATGTAATTTTTCTGTTAGGGCAAAACAATAACGTTATAATTGGTATTACATTGCACGTGGCCAAAATAATACACTCATGGCAATGAAAAACTTTTTTCTAGAAAAAGTTTAGCAAAGATAAAATGGGTGTATTTCACTTCATTGTCTGTGTCATTGATGTCTATATACAATGACAACACACTGTAACATAACGAGAATATAATAAAACCAGAGCAATAAAACATGACATTTGATGTTACATAAAAGCAATGTTAAGTTTTATTACATGATAATTAAACTTGCAATGTTGTGTTACGTAAATGTAACAGTATTGTATTTGTGTTATAATACCTTGCTGTGCTTATCATATGAGCATATGAGCAATTTTCATAAGAAGTTACGTCGTCAACATAGTGCGCAACAAAAAAAATGCCAGTTTTTTCTTTTCACTTTAAAGCAAAAATTCGCCAAAATTATTCTTGCTTTGTCTTAAAGCTGTACCGCTGTACCACGTATATACAGTTTCTTATATTTACCAAGTAGGCCAACAACGAGGTAGACGTCACACTTGTTCGCGCGAGTTTGAACCAATCACAATCAAGTACCTTAAAATGTGCTTGAGTGCAGCTGATTTTTCTTATATGCGTTTTTTACATAAATTGGGAGAAGTGGCCGATTATTTTAAATCTGATTCGCTGAAAGTGCCCCGAAAGCAATACAATATCAAATATCGAACAAAAAAGAAATCCGATTTCTACTACAATCCATAAATTATGGTAAAATAAACGTACGTAAACGTAAACACATGCAAAAAAAAGGTGCAATACACATTTTATATAAAATTCTCGTTTTATTCACAATATTTATTTATAACATTATCAGTATAATTTTATATTTCTTAATGAAGCCAAACACTAACGCACTGTATTTAAAATTAGAATAAAAAATTAAATCCGAAGTGTGTTAGTTATTCTAGGCTTGCACCTGTGTATAATTTTTTAAAAGAACTTGTCATTTAAAAATATGTCACACTTGACAACACAATTTTACCTTTATTGCAGTTGCGATACTGACAATAACAAAAATAATGTAAATGCATAACCATATCGCAAGCAAAACTGATAACAGTCACAAATTTTCCTTTTCGGTTTTTTACGAACAAAAAATGACCTAGTTTTGTCAACCACAAATGACATTAACGAACAATGTAGCAATAACGATAATGATCTCCCATTACCTTTGCTGACAACTATCGATTAAAAGCTATTCCTGCCCATAGCATAAAATATAAATAAGGTAATAAATAGCAGGTTCCAACAAATGAAACTAATGTCAAATACACAATTGAACTTGAACTTTACAAGCGACTTCCACAAATGAACTACTTAAGCTAATAAAAATTGTTATCACAATTAGCTTAATTAAAGTGTGAAAAGTTTCCAGAGCGACACCAACTCATAAACATGTCTTAGTATCCTCAAAAGCCAAAACTGGAAAATCCCGCAAAATATGAACAGCTATTTTTAACGCAAAACTATTCATATTTTCGCAAAATGGGGACACATGGAAATCTACTTTCCACCAAAAGTCTCATTTGAATATTACCCAAGGATATATTTAAAATTTTGTGTTGTCATGTCATCCTTCATTCTAGAATGTGCGGAAAACGGAACGATTAATTTTTTAAAATGCAACTACTATTTTTAGAAGGACGAATATGCCGGTTGCTGACCTCAGGAATGTTCGTCTAGACAAAAAAGTATGTAGATATGGGGATATACATATTTCTTGATTATAAATAAACTACGCCGATGTAGCAATAGTTCACCCGGTGACTGTCTTTCTAACGATAAAATAATTATTATGTGGATGGCGAATGGCCCAAATTTGCACAACGCAGTTGCAAAAATGTGCGCTGCTCACTTTCTACAGCGAAATTTTGACGACTTTGAGGTATCGATCATTACAAAAAAAACGAACTGAAATTAGTCAATTATATTTTAATGCTAAATTTGATTTTAATTTATTGAAATAAATGGAAATAGCATAAAGGAGTCAATGTCAAAAATAAATTCATTAATATTTATGAAAGCTTACAGCGATTTTAAACTTTTTCCGCTAAAAACGACATACAGCATAGACAGTTTAGATTATGCACAAAAACAGAAACAATTCCGAAATGGTAAATATTCTTATCAAAATAAGACCGCACAATTCATTGACATTTCATGGAAAAGATGCGTCCTAGAAATTTCAGATGATGTTGTCAGGGCAATTTTTGTATGTTTTGTCTGCTATTCCGCCAATCTTGTAATTACATATCTTATCAAGTTATTGTTACATGTTAATAAAAGCTAAAAGTCACAAATCTATTTAGATAGGGCGGAAGATTGTTCTCCATTCAAGTACGTTATTGTCTGACTCCAAAGTGTTAATACAATCTACTGTTGACAATACATTTACGTGTTGAAGAGATTTATCAATTTTATCTAAAAACAATTAACTTTTTTAAAACACTATCAAATACCTGAAGTCATATCACGGTTGCTCTGTGCGTGTATTTTTTTTTAAT